CTAGTCACCTCCACCCCCAGAGAAATCTCATCTTTGCAAACTGCACAAACCACATCATTTGCCATTAAATCCTCCGTCGTCAAAACTACTGAAGGCAAATTTTCAACCACGGATTTGGCAGCTGGCGGACCACCCTTAACAGTACTCTCTGCATCAACATGTTCCCCAAACAGGACGATATATTCATCAAAACCAACTGCTATTTCCAGATTGTTAACTGCTAATAGGACCTGCCATTCCACGTTTCTTGCATTTTCTTCATCATGTTCTCCACCACCAGTATCAAAAGTCGAATTTTCAGTGTCAGAGGAAACTGAAATTTCCTCTATTCGATCAATCAAAGAACTCAGATTTTCCCTAACATTCACTTCCTCCCATTCGAATTCTTCGTTAAAAAAAGCCCTCGCCCGTTGACTATCAAATTGCGGGCAATCCCAAAACTCGTCCAAGTCATCATAATTTGGATTCAACCCATCATGATCATTTGCTCTATCAACCCTAGAATGGATCTCCGCAGCTTCCGAGTCGGACTCCGATTCCATGTTCACAATTCGAAGACCGCCGACCATTGACGGAAGAGCATCAACCCCATTGCATTCGGCCTGTGCACCTAAAACTAATTCGGGTTCTTCGTCCAGACAAGTACACCCGGATTCAGAATTACACAGTCCATGGTCGGGGATACCATGGCGGGTCGCGAATAAATCCGTAACGAAATTCATTTGATCGTCGTCGTCGTCGTCTTCTGGGCTGTAGTAGAGGAAATTCTGGTCGGAGTGAACAGATTCGGAATGCTGAGAGCCGGATTCGGATTCTGAAATGGCGGTGAAATTGAGGTTGTCATCAATCAAGAAGGAAGGATTAGGAGGAGAGAGGGAATGGAAATTTAAGGCGTAAACATCGGGTTGTGGCTCCTCATCCTCGTCCTCCGCAAAGGCGACGGCGCTGTCGCCGATAGTGGTGGCAGGGGCGGATAGATTTTGTTGGTCGGAGAGGCGTAGGTCGGTGACTTCCGCCATCGGCTAAGAACGATACGGGCAGCCGTTCTTGGTGAACCCAAAAGAGCCCAAAATAGAAAAAAAAATAAAAGAAAAACGAATCTACTCCCCTGAGTAATATGCAAAGATTGAAGGGAGTGAGTTATCCCTGGGGATGGATTTAGGAATGGGATATTTCCGTACGATTTTTCTCTCCTGCGATACGTTCGTTTGTCTGGTTGTTGTATAGTAACCAAGGAAAACTATATAGTTCTTCAAGTGTTTTTGCCACTAGCATTTTATTTTATTGGCGTTGAGAAAGCGTAGTGTACCTTGGGCCCGATGGGATTTGAAACAAACAACAAGAAGATAGGTGACTAGGGCCGGTTTGCCAAGCACGTTTGACTGTTGCAAATTTTTAATAATTTTAATTACAGTAATTTTAAAATTTTAAATTATACATTTTAAAATATTGAAAAATTTATACACTTCAAAAATTTTTTCTACAATTTTTATAGTAAGATATAGTAATATTTTAAACAAACACTCACAAAACTCATTTGTCAAACGAAGTCTAAATATAATACTGATAACTTTTTTTTTAGTCCATTGGTAGTAGGGGTGGCAATTTTTTATATGACCTGAAAATACGACACGAATCTAACACGAAATTAATGGATTTGGCTTGAGGTTTTGTGGGTTCAGGTCGAACCCGATGAACCCGAAAAGAAAACGGGTCGAATTCGAGTCAGCCATTGGGTGACCCGATAACCCGTTTATGAATTAAAAATAATATAATAAATATAAAATTTATTTTATCTAACTAAACTAAGTTATTCTTTTTTCCAAAGGCATTAATCACTTAATCCTAAATGAATTTAATTTACTTGTGTGAAGTTGAAATTATTATATTTGGATAAATAATGTATTATATTATTTTTTACTTTTGTATTGTTTTAATTTATTTTATACTTGGTTTGGGATAAAACACTTTTATGGTGTTTTTATTTATTTTAGATTTGATTTGGGATTATTTATTTAAAATTTTATTACTTGATTATGTAATTAGTCTTGAGCAAAATTGGTTTTATTAGAAATTACAATGGTAAATTAATAAATTAAAATTCAATTTCGGGTCATTTCGGGTCATTTCGGATCAACCTGCCAACCCGTCAACCGAAATTTTCGGGTTCAAGTCTGGTATTCTGACCTGTTTCGAGTTGACGGGTTTGATGCAGGTCAGCGGATTTTCTATTATACCCGGATCTCAACCCAACCCGTTAAGTCAATTTGGACCCAATTGCCATCCCTAATTGGCAGCACTTGTTCATGTACTTCATTCAAGTTTCTCATATAGTCATGTCTATCAACAAATAACTAAAATGCTACTAATAGACGACCATATATATCTATATATAGCTCATTTGTATCCATACAGAACAAATTATGGTTTCTCAGTTCATTAGGCATCGGTAAGCTCTTGACTGGATTTCTTATCCTTTATATATATATATATATTTTTTTCAATTCTAGGAATAATAAAGCTAGTGTAAGGCTGTGGTGTAGTGAGGTCAAACGGTTTGTTTTTTTTTTTTTTTTTTTGGGTACAAGAAGGGCCAAATTCTTACATAGAGGCTTAATTATTATATAAAATAAATGAAGGGTGGAAAACATACAAAAGTAATAATTTGAAAGCCGATTGCACGATTTCTCTAAATACAAGGTTTGTGTTTGGCTAGTTATAAGTGTTTGGATTGGAATGATTTGAGAAAAAATAATTTGCAATACAAATTTCAATACATTTCTTTATTTTTTTAATTATTTTTTATCTCACATATATCCCATTACAAAATATATTATAATAATTATTTCAAATAAACCCCCATCCAAACACATATTTTCGTTATCTCGGCAGACTTCAAAGCACAAAAGAAAGACTGGAAAAAGGGTAAAAAAAAAAAAAAAAAAAGAGGTGGTGCTGATGATGGTACGGAGGAAGTTGTCAATTATAAAGGGGTAGTATCCAATGGGCCGGACCGGCAGCCCACAATGCAAGCGATAGCGAAGAGGCCATGGAGAAAATAGCAAATCGTCTGACATAGGCAGCCAGCTTTGGAGTGGGCTGGCGTATGTAGATGGTAGCAATTGAGAAACTGAAGGCTCCCACGATTCCCAACAAAAAAGTCTGGTATGTCTTCGGTTGACCTTTGAAGATGATGGTCGGAATGGGGTAACCGTCGATGTCCTCCGCCGGCAGATACCTTACCGACATGCCTATGACGTAAGAAATGAACAGAATATATTCCTCGCATCCCCACCTGGTGGGGCTGCTGAATGGTAATTGGTCTGTGGTTGATGATTTTGGTGATTTTACTTCTTCCATCTCCACCATCTTGGAAATGCTATCTACTTCCAAATCTCTCTCCCCAGTTTGTGTTTGTGTTTTTTGTGTGTGTCAATTGTTTTTCTGGGCTAGGCCAGTGCGAAATTTTTATACTTCCTACAAAGACAGATTGGCAATTTCTTCCAAGTTTCCTAGTCCTAGCAAAGAAGATGCAGATGACCCTTCAGGCCTTGACTTCTTTTCCGTCCGTTGTTCTTCGCCCGTTCCTCGAAGTTTCCTAGAAACCGACGCGATGACCCTTCTTTCGGTTCTTTAGCACTAGTATTTTGACCCGTGCTATGCACGGGATTATATTTCAAATCAAAATAATATTGTATATCTTTATATATTGTGGTACAGAATAATATATATATATATAGACTAAAAATTTTAAAGAAGTGTATGCTTGACATATTGAAAAAATTTTAATTTATAATGATTTACATGATAGATGAATTGTTAACACATTTAAGGAGAGGGTTAGGTTGGGTGGTAAGGTGAAAAGAGTTTTCTTAAAAAAAAATCAATGTATCAGTACCTGACAAAACATCTTATGTTATACCCATATATCAAAACTTATAATATAAAAAATTATAACCAATTTATTTTCTTCCATTTTAGAAAAAAATATTTCTTCTATCTTGTACCGCTAAGATTGTTGACTGCATTTAGATTAGCATTTTTCATAAACTTTAACATATATTAAAAGAAATCTCTGTAATATATGTTTTTAGAGTTCTCAAAATTATTAAAAATCATCATCATTTCCCTCTTCTCTTATCCGCTGGCTAGTCATGAGATGCCTCCTTGACTTTCATATTTTCTATCATGGTACCACTCTCTCTATTTTTTTTTTTTGTCATATCTGTTATATTCCGACAATCCCCCTTTTTCTTCTCTCCTTTTTCCGCCCATCCTTGTAACCCACATTTTTTCTTCAACCTTTCTCGCCACTTTTCAACTCCTCACCATTTTTTTCCCTTCCTCCTCCCCCATACCCAATCTCTAAATTCATATCCCTTCGACCCAATATATTTAACTTTATCTATCATAATGAAAAATATAAAATTGAAAATTGATTGCAATGGTTGCAATTATTAGTATCTAAATATGAAAATGAAAACTGGTAATATCTATAATATCCTCAAGTACTACAATCAATATATATATGTATATATATTTAATATAGAAAATACATATTTACATATGAAGACAACAATAAGAATACATAAAATAATTAATAATACCAAAAGTTATCCTTAGTGTTTGGGTTTTACACTCTTATTCAAATCTAATCAGGGTCAAATTTGGGCCAGATATATATACAAATTAAGTAGTATTTTAGGGTCGAATGTTCTATATTTTTCTCTTAAACTATAATATTATTTTTTAAAATTTTGTTGGTAGAATTGGTGTTGTTATTATCATTATTTTTATCGAAAATGAATATTTAAAAAAAAATTCCAAGTTAAAAGGCCAGTATTACTTTGTTTTTATTTAGTGATTTCATGGATGGTACCATTCTTGATTTTTTAAATCCTTCTTTTTTGTTTTCTATTTAATTTTGCTCTTTTACTTAGCATTAATAAGTTGAGTTGAGTGTTCTCTTGAAGTACACGATCATGACATTCTGAAGCATGGTTCAGTTTATCTATCAGCTGATGATTCTCATTACGGAGCCAAACAACCTGGGACCATAGCTCATCAAGATGCTTTTGCTTGCGCATACGTGATCTTCGTGCAGATTCTCTATTGGAAATCATCCTTCTCTGCTTTCTTTCATTTATTATACTTAGTTGTTGATCATCTGCTTCATCTGAAGTTGAATTGCAGCTGAAAGATGCCATCTGCGGGTTGAAGTCTTGAATCTGGGGATTGATCTGAAGGTGGCACAAAGGGTTTGAAATTCTGCTAAGGTTGAAAGAAGGCATGTTATTGTTGTTCAAGCCAAAATGAGAAGGGTATTGAGTTGGATTTGAAGTAAGCAGATAATACAACTCTGTTGCATCACCTGACTGCATGGTTTCTGCTAGTTAATTGATTTATGTATGTAACAAGGTTCTGGACCTGATCATATAATATTGGTGTTGGAAGGCGAAGGCAAACATCCAGGAGAGGGGTTTTATAGGATGGTAAAAATGTTGCGGTCCCATTTCTTAAACAGTGAAGTTTCTTAAAGACAAGACTACTCGAATATGATGCTGAATGCGTGCATAAGTTGTGTTGTATTACATTTCTGCATTGATACCAAAACTTACGGATATATGTATACATCTAACCTTTACTTCTGTCCAATATGGTCATTTGGGACTTACGAATTGTATCTGATCTGATGTATGCAGGTCCAAAAGATATTGGAAATTTAAGTGTTGTGGATAATTGGTGACATCAAACAATGCTCACATCACATACACATGCGTGCACACAGAATATCATGGAGAGTATCATTATTCAAAAGCTAGAAAGTTTTTGGAAGAGAAAAAAGCAATTGAATAATACGGATGAAGAAGTCAATTTAAAATTGCTAGTTGTTGCAAAGCAAGCTAACTTGACATCTTTATTACTCTGCAGTGGTTCTTGCCCAACAAGGTGCAGTGACGTAAAGATATAGGAGAACGAGGCCATGGGAGGAAAGAGGTAAGGGAAGGAAAGTCCTTTCTATAAGTGGGACAAGTCCTTTCTATAAGTGGAACAAATAAAAAATTAATGACTCAACAACCACTTTCATGTGATCCATTTTGGAAAAAATAACACAATTTGTTTCTTTTATTTCAAAGTTATATTTGATTATCTCAAATCACGGACCATAGTTATAATGGCACTTTGATGGAAGGATTCTAGTTGGAGGGATTCTTTTAATCTGATCTAATGTGGGGAAAAAAAAAAAAAATTCATACAGGCAGTTGCTTGTTTCTCCACAAAATTCTCTGGCATTTTAGTTTAATTACTTGTAAAGGCTTGATCAAAGTTGAATTGTCCAGTACGCTGTCTTGTCAAATAATATATAGATATGCGTAAGTTGCAATGGAATTAAAAGGACAAAACTCAAGTAAGAACTATTACAGTAGTTTTGTCTGAGGAAACTAACTTAGTGGATTGGCGATTTCTCATATAACTGGTACTTCATAACTGGAATGCAGTGGAAGGCTAAACTAGAATGGCTTTGTCTCCTGAAATATGTTACGGGAGAAAGTAAATAGTAAAAGTTTTTAAAGTCCTGAGGTTTGCCAGTCAAAAAAGTTTTTGGACATGTACTAACTGGGGAATCCAAATCTTCTAAGCTTTTGCAGTAGGAAAGAAAGGTTTAAAGATTATAGGGGTGTTGTGGCTGATGATCCCATTGCTTTCCCAAAAAGAAAATAAAAGCATAACTAAGAATGTCCTGCATTGCTGGTTTTGTCTGCTGAAATATGTTACAGGGGAATTCAGAAAGTAAAGAGTAAAAGTTTATCAAGTCCTGAGGTGTGCCGTGGCAGTCAAAAAGTTTTTGGACATGTACTAACTGGGGAATCCAAATCTTCTAAGCTTTTGCAGTGGGGAAGAAAGCTTAAAAGATTATAGGGGTATTATGGTGGTTGATCCCATAGCTTTACCAAACAGAAAATAAAAACATAAGAAAGAATATCCTGCATTGCACCATATCATATTTGGGACTCAAAACTCGCTCTTCTCCTCCTCCTTGTTGTTTCTTTATATGTATACATATATATATAATCATCTGTTCCTTGGGTTTTTGTTGATTTAGATAAGTTGATACTGAATGTTGGCCACACAAGTTATAAAGTTCTATGGTATGTATAAATTCGCGTTACAATTAATGTTGGTGGGAGGATGATAAGGGGAAAGATATGAATGTACTTTGAAATGTAGTCTTCCACTAATAAAAGGAACTTTGTATGCATCCAGAGCCAAAAGCCTATGGAGGCAAATGCTCTCTCCCTACTTCATGTATGTTGGCCAAGTTGAGTGGGCTGAACGGTCAAAAAATTCATGAGACAGATATTGACTCATACTTCATCGCTGTCTTTACATTGTTGTTTCCGTGTTCCAACTTTTCAGTAGTATTTCCTTTCTAGGTTCTTTTTTCTTTCTCCTTTTTCTTTTCCAAAGACAATCCATGATTGCTGGAACAGTTGCTCTGTCTCTCAAGTTTTAATATGCGAGTGTGTGTGTGTGTGTGTGTTGCTTTAAAGTTGCTGATGTTAGTTTTCCAACAATTCCAATCTTGCAAGCAAAAGTGACCTGGATCATTCAAACTCTAATGCCTTCATCTTTATCCTTGCCTTCATTTTATTATCTGCCTGAGATCCTTTCTTTCTATCATCTTCACCTTTTCTGCTGACCTTAATAGGGGATGGCAATCAAGCGCATTTCTCCTTTTCTCATAATCTAGACGCATTATTGAATTTTGCTCGATCCTCGGTTTTTTCGTCCCGTCAATCGCTTCATTTACACTGCCAGAACCTTTTGGAGTGCAAAATCTTTCAAATAACTTTTGTGCAGAGACCAAATAATATAACGATTTTCCTGGCGCAAGAAAATTAGGAAGCCGAGCAACAGGGCCTTTGGAGGATTTCTTTCGTTTTTTGCCCTTTCAACAAGAGCCTCTCAAATGCTTGGGAGTGATCCACTTGTCTACTTTATTGTCATGGTATCACGTCTTGTAGTAGCAAAAAAACAAAGAGCCAGTTGCTGCACAATCCAAGAACTATCTAGCAAACTTTTGCATCTGGGATGAGGTTACCGAAAGAATGCGACGCAAAATATCTATCGTCCACTTTCAATTGTGGGTTTGACGTTTTCTGCCCTTTACAATTCTTTTCGGCTTTTCTAATTTTATTTCTCCCCATTAAATCAAAAGGGGGGTAAAAAAGGTGAGGCAGACGAGACAAGAAAAGCTAGCGCAAGCACCCCGCCCCGCCCCGCCCCGCTGAGATGGGAAAGAAATGATTTTATATAGTAACATATTACCACCACTTCACTTCGAGGCCCTCAATTCAGTAACCATATCTTATCCCTCCCTCTACATGATCATACACCGTATCCAATTACTCCTTTTCGCATAATACATTGCCCCCTTCAGAATGCAAAATTCACGGATAAAAATCCAAAAGCGTAATCATGAGAGAGAGGAGAAGCATCTGCGAGACAACGAAATTTCAAGGGCAAATAATAGACCAAATAGAGACAACTGCCCTTGAAAATGGGATTTTTTTTTTCTTTTTGACCAAAAAAAAAAAAAAAAAAAAAACCCATGGGTCCCTGCTAACAAGGGCGTGTGGACGTCGTGTGCGCTGCAACCTAGAGCTTTCAATGAGCCAATTCAAGGCGAGGGCGTGTGGACGTCGTGTGCGCCTCAATCTAGAGCAAGATTCGAGCACGACTCAAATATTAATGAATTATAAATATTATTTGAATTTGATTCGTAAATATTTGATTTTGAAGATTATTTAATTATATTTTTAATAAATAATGCATTATTTAGAATAAGTTTAGTTGTATTTATTGATTTTTTTTAAAAATAAATAATTCTAATTTATGTATAATTGCTTTTTCAGTAAAATATAATATATGTCTAATAATATTAGACGTATTGATATTTATATTTATAATTATAAATGTATTTACGAACTATTAGATTCGTACTCCACTGCTCGATTATTAAACGCGTCTAATATTGCGCTCAAACTCGGTTAATTCATTAAATGATCGAATGTTTTTTTAAATTTAAACGGGTCATGTACAAACACGCTCGCAGATAACTCGATTCGTTAGAGCTTTAGCACCGCCCCCCTTCCCAACCATACTTTCAATTGGCTGTCAATCACCTTCACCCATTGGCCAGGCCCAGGCGTGGGAACTCAGGAGGCGCCCCCATACAGTTTGACACCCACATCGCAGAGTTTTGGTACTGTTACTGACGAGCCTTTTATTCAGGTGCTGTGAAGTGAGGTGATGGGACTCCCCAGTTTGCAGTACTGTCACTTGTACCATGTGCGACCCATTTGTGCACCCCATTCAACCAACCTTCGCATTTTTTCTCTCGTGGTTGTCATTTTACACGGTTCCGTGCGACAATCATGTGTTCAGCCCAATCAGGTTACCGTCCTTGCTGGTTGGAACTGTGATGTATTATCTTCCTCAGGCCAAATCATATGCTAGTCCAGTTTGGAGAGCATTTCAAGTTGAAAACGCCATTTTTCTTATCTGTTGTGCTAATTTAGATGAGAGTAGCACCTTTTAGCTGCAAATTGCTTAGCTCCTACTTTTATCTGACATGAATAGAATTTCAAGAATCGGGATATGACAAGCATTACAAAAAACTGAATCATCTTTGTTCGAGACTCGAGAGTAACATATTATTATTGTTACCATACCGCATTGTTCGGCTGGTTGCTGATCCTCGTTATTAAGCATCAAACAAAGATGCAACCAACTTGACATCTGAAAATCTTCCTAGCCTAAGATTCCTTGCTGCAATTTTGGAGGGCGGAAAGTGCCATTGCCATTGTTTTATATTCTGGAGAAGAAGACAGTAGTAAAGTTTGCTATAGTGTTTTAGACGTTTATATAGCCTCTTTAATCTTGAATCTGTCCTTGTGTTACCTCATTGTGTCTTCCTGTTTTGAGTGACATCAAGTAATCTCGAGAGATTGGTCGAGACAGGATAAAATCATCATCTGCAGTAGCATCTTTTCTACTTCATCCCGGCCTTCTTGCTTTTGTTTTGGACTTTTTCCGTGTGTATATATATATATATATATATATAACTGTTTTCCAAGTTCTATCATGGCACCTTTGTTTGTGGTATGTTTTAAATACAATTTCCATCTTTCGTGCAATCTACAAAGTAATGCAACGGTTGGTTTGGTGCTGCAATTTTAGTAGTAAAATGAATTGATTTGCATGTAATGTCCATATGCTTGCGTACTTGCTGTAAAAGTTGTGATCCACTAACAATGTGGATGATAAAGGTGCTCGGAAATGGACTTCGTTTTCGCACAATCTTTAGACCAAACAAGACTTCTTAGCCATCCTGTAGTTGTGTTGTTGTTGCTGCTGCCTTCATGGACTACTGTTAAACACTTCTTTCTTCTCCACGTCAATTCAATTATTGGGCCATTCATCTCTCTCTCTCTCTCTCTCGTACAAAAATAACAATATATGTACCAGTAAGAAAAGTTGAATACTTGATACGCTAATGAGCCTGGCGTAACTAAATAACCATTATGAAACTTCGTAATCTAGTATATATAGAATGACAACTTTCTGAAACTAGCGTTTTCCTTCAGCAAGTTACTCCGGTGGGTAGAATTTAAGGGATATCATCAAAGCAGCTGCGTGGTTATTGAACTTTCGGAAACTGTGATGGAAGAGAAATTCCACCGTTCTCTCTGGATCAGTTTCAGAATCTGCCTGAAGCTAAATTGCAGTAGCCTCACATTAGAGGGCTGATATGCACCCTGATGTATAGACATTGCTTGGTATCATGTTGCTACCCTGCTTAATTTTGTGACATGATAAGAATATAATCCTCGTCGAATTGTGAATGATGAGAATGTATATTGGGGTTTGATCAGGACCCAATCTTGAGTGAGGCTTTGACAAACCCAAAAAACCCCCCAACCCCGAGCCAAAACCGTGAGTGAGTGAGACCAGAAAAGTTTTAGCTTCTGAATCATGGCAACATCAATCCTTGTTATCAAAAACGGTTTCCTACCATCAAGGCAACTTCATGGGCAAAACTCGATGTGTTTCCCCGTTAGTTTACTTTTACTTCCGTCCACGGGTGCATTACAGTTGCGAAGAAAGTCAATCTTAATGCTACTCGAGTTCTAATCAACCATAACAAGCCTTGAGGTTAAGCAATTTCATGCCTGAATTTTCAATAATATTTTCACTTATTTCTCCTATACAATCAAGATGAGATCTTGAGATTTCGCTCCCTCCTCTCTTGAGAATTGCGGATAGCCCAATTTTTTTTTTAAAAAAAAGTTATTCGGAAGCCCTATCCTCATTCAGCTTTAGCTTTTGATTTCAATTAGCTTTAAATGATTCAATCCCACAATCAATGAAGCCATTAATACCCTCTCCTCCCTAGTCTTCACTCTTCTGATACACATCCTGTTTTTTTTTTTTGAATCAAAGCCACTAGCAATAGCCAAAGCCACAAGCTGGCTTCTAGACAATTTTGAGTGCTCTGTTTGATTGGCTCTTTGGGCACCAGAAGGCCAAACAGCCGGACCTTGAAAATCCAATCTTGTAAAAAATGACTACTTGTAATGGCGTTTAAAAGAAGTAGAGAAGCAGAATGATTAGCAATCATGCTGTTAGTTTAACACAAGATGAGGAATGTTGGTTTCCTCCGTATCTTAGTACATGTTTGTAAAGCTCAAGATGAGCCTTTGCTCAAGAATTGTACAGTTTAGTTTTCAATCAATAAAAACTACCGTTTCAGTTAAAAAAAAAAAATAAGGGCGTTTAATACCCCCCACCCTCCTCTATTTTTTCATCAACGCTTTCTTGATATGCTGCTACTATTAATAGTGAGTACCATACATCCTCCTTAATGGCAGTGTTTACCCAAAAGGAGCCCAAGTGACACTACCAGTTTAATGAAGTGGCTTTGACGTTCGACCGACTGCAATTCATGGCGGTTCAGAGGGAATCATCCTCCGGACTAATCTGTATCTCCCATAAACAAAGAAGTCGAGCACCACAAAATGTGGACATATAAGAGACCAATCAAAATCCCAGCGGTGTCATCTCAGGTGATTCAGCGGTGTCGTCGTGTAGGAGTTCTTCTAATACTCAGAGGATTAATCATACAAGCTTACTAGATCTTGTAGTTGGATGGTTGGAAGACACAATTTTATTAAATCTTGTAGCTGTATTGTTGAATGAAAAAAGCAGGACTGGATTTTGCTCGATGAATGATGAGGGTGATAAAGTTTTGTCTTCAAGGAGCTGCACGAGATAGTTTTTGACAAACACTACGTCGTACTGATTTAGGCGGACAAAGTAGACAGAGGATCCGGAGCCATCCCATCGTTTTCATTTGCATGGGATTCCATTTTTCTCAGGCAACCTGTGTCTTTTTCCTTCCCCCCGTTTTGGCTACAAATGCCTGGTATCTGTCGTCCAACTCCCAAAGAATCTTTTATAACCAGGATAAAGCTAGCTTGATTTTGTAAGACGGAGCCAACAAAAACAAAAAAAGACAGTTAAAAAGTTCCAGGATGGCCACAATAATATTTTCCTTGCACCATCGTTTAATTCCACATTCATTCTAAAGTGTGTGGGAAGAAATCTGTATCTTCATTTTTATCATAAAAATTGTCCCAACCCTTGGAGCAGATTTAAATTAAATATACAACTAGAATCAGAAGCATCCACAAAGCAGCCATTTACCACAAACCACAAGAGATTGTAAACAGCGTAAGAGCTTTTGGTACATTTCAGATGCCAAATAGAGACACGAAGACATTCATGTTATAAGGATTCAGATCAGAGCTTGTCAACAACAGATTGTAAACAAAGATGGAAATGAATAGGCTACTAAAAGGTGGTTCATCCATCTGCATGCAAAGGGCTGTGGTAGATGGCCAACTTTCAGTAACTAGCTTAGCAGATTTCAAAGTATCCTGCTGGCTAAACAGCATGAGAACTGAATAAAATGTCAAAAAGACTCGAATGCAGTTGGTGGGATAAAGAGCTTCAGCTTAAGATTACACATAATGTCCATAACCTTGGTCAATTCATCAAGTACCAAAAGACAGATCAAATTTCCCACCTGTAATGGGTGGCCATATGTTGACCCTCAGTTCTTCAAGTATGTTGAAATGCTTAAGAGCCAGCGCCACATGCAGTTATAGCAAATCATGTATTTAAACTGTATTGAACTATTACTTAAAGGAACTTAAGCACCAGCACTACTTTACCTTCATAATCTTCAGTTCAAATTAACAAAAAAATGTATCTGAGTAGATTACAGAACTCCCGATCAATTCGTGCAAAAGGCTAAAAGCTTGACCGCTCATGCAAAAGATCTAGCTGCCAACAAACTTTACCTCTCAAATTGAGCCTGGGAGGAGAAATGAACTGATGATAACCCCAAAACTCTACTTTTACAGCCTAGCAATCATTATAAGAACAAAGATGCAACAAACACGTCGAAAATAAATCCAATTCGTTAAAAACACAATCCATATCCGGACCAGCAAAACACCAAGTGCAGAAGCTCATGCAGCTTCACTAGCGGAGAAATCAAATGCCAAAGGAAGAAGAAAGAACGTAACCATGGTCCATAAAGTTAAAACGGTTCATTCATATAAACAGTGGTTTTACACTACATGTAACTCTCTATCATACTTACATCGCAACAAGACATGATTTATTCAATGGCAAAAAGCACAAAATTTCCCAATGTAACACTCCACTAACTGTAAAGCTTGTGACTTTACCATTACAACATTCGAAAATGCACAAGAAGAAAACGTCGGTATCTTCACCAAGACCTAAAATATCATCTGCCTAAAGATATCCTCCACAATTGACAATCTACGGACACTCTCAGGGTAAAAGTTGATAATTACTAAATTGCAAATCACCAATCAGGCTAGTGCCAGCGCCATTTCTATTCTTTCTTCTCTCATAATCCACATCATCTGTAGGTAACTCAAAGCGACAAAGAGGACATGTATTACGAATGCTTAGCCAGGGCATAATGCAGTCCTGATGATAATGGTGACTACAGGGTAGCCTAGTCACCTCCACCCCCAGAGAAATCTCATCTTTGCAAACTGCACAAACCACATCATTTGCCATTAAATCCTCCGTCGTCAAAACTACTGAAGGCAAATTTTCAACCACGGATTTGGCAGCTGGCGGACCACCCTTAACAGTACTCTCTGCATCAACATGTTCCCCAAACAGGACGATATATTCATCAAAACCAACTGCTATTTCCAGATTGTTAACTGCTAATAGGACCTGCCATTCCACGTTTCTTGCATTTTCTTCATCATGTTCTCCACCACCAGTATCAAAAGTCGAATTTTCAGTGTCAGAGGAAACTGAAATTTCCTCTATTCGATCAATCAAAGAACTCAGATTTTCCCTAACATTCACTTCCTCCCATTCGAATTCTTCGTTAAAAAAAGCCCTCGCCCGTTGACTATCAAATTGCGGGCAATCCCAAAACTCGTCCAAGTCATCATAATTTGGATTCAACCCATCATGATCATTTGCTCTATCAACCCTAGAATGGATCTCCGCAGCTTCCGAGTCGGACTCCGATTCCATGTTCACAATTCGAAGACCGCCGACCATTGACGGAAGAGCATCAACCCCATTGCATTCGGCCTGTGCACCTAAAACTAATTCGGGTTCTTCGTCCAGACAAGTACACCCGGATTCAGAATTACACAGTCCATGGTCGGGGATACCATGGCGGGTCGCGAATAAATCCGTAACGAAATTCATTTGATCGTCGTCGTCGTCGTCTTCTGGGCTGTAGTAGAGGAAATTCTGGTCGGAGTGAACAGATTCGGAATGCTGAGAGCCGGATTCGGATTCTGAAATGGCGGTGAAATTGAGGTTGTCATCAATCAAGAAGGAAGGATTAGGAGGAGAGAGGGAATGGAAATTTAAGGCGTAAACATCGGGTTGTGGCTCCTCATCCTCGTCCTCCGCAAAGGCGACGGCGCTGTCGCCGATAGTGGTGGCAGGGGCGGATAGATTTTGTTGGTCGGAGAGGCGTAGGTCGGTGACTTCCGCCATCGGCTAAGAACGATACGGGCAGCCGTTCTTGGTGAACCCAAAAGAGCCCAAAATAGAAATAAAAAATAAAAGAAAAACGAATCTACTCCCCTGAGTAATATGCAAAGATTGAAGGGAGTGAGTTATCCCCTGGGGATGGATTTAGGAATGGGATATTTCCGTACGATTTTTCTCTCCTGCGATACGTTCGTTTGTCTGGTTGTTGTATAGTAACCAAGGAAAACTATATAGTTCTTCAAGTGTTTTTGCCACTAGCATTTTATTTTATTGGCGTTGAGAAAGCGTAGTGTACCTTGGGCCCGATGGGATTTGAAACAAACAACAAGAAGATAGGTGACTAGGGCCGGTTTGCCAAGCACGTTTGACTGTTGCAAAATTTTTAATAATTTTAATTACAGTAATTTTAAAATTTTAAATTATACATTTTAAAATATTGAAAAATTTATACACTTCAAAAATTTTTTCTACAATTTTTATAGTAAGATATAGTAATATTTTAAACAAACACTCACAAAACTCATTTGTCAAACGAAGTCTAAATATAATACTGATAACTTTTTTTTTAGTCCATTGGTAGTAGGGGTGGCAATTTTTTATATGACCTGAAAATACGACACGAATCTAACACGAAATTAATGGATTTGGCTTGAGGTTTTGTGGGTTCAGGTCGAACCCGATGAACCCGAAAAGAAAACGGGTCGAATTCGAGTCAGCCATTGGGTGACCCGATAACCCGTTTATGAATTAAAAATAATATAATAAATATAAAATTTATTTTATCTAACTAAACTAAGTTATTCTTTTTTTCCAAAGGCATTAATCACTTAATCCTAAATGAATTTAATTTACTTGTGTGAAGTTGAAATTATTATATTTGGATAAATAATGTATTATATTATTTTTTACTTTTGTATTGTTTTAATTTATTTTATACTTGGTTTGGGATAAAACACTTTTATGGTGTTTTTATTTATTTTAGATTTGATTTGGGATTATTTATTTAAAATTTTATTACTTGATTATGTAATTAGTCTTGAGCAAAATTGGTTTTATTAGAAATTACAATGGTAAATTAATAAATTAAAATTCAATTTCGGGTCATTTCGGGTCATTTCGGATCAACCTGCCAACCCGTCAACCCGAAATTTTCGGGTTCAAGTCTGGTATTCTGACCTGTTTCGAGTTGACGGGTTTGATGCAGGTCAGCGGATTTTCTATTATACCCGGATCTCAACCCAACCCGTTAAGTCAATTTGGACCCAATTGCCATCCCTAATTGGCAGCACTTGTTCATGTACTTCATTCAAGTTTCTCATATAGTCATGTCTATCAACAAATAACTAAAATGCTACTAATAGACGACCATATATATCTATATATAGCTCATTTGTATCCATACAGAACAAATTATGGTTTCTCAGTTCATTAGGCATCGGTAAGCTCTTGACTGGATTTCTTATCCTTTATATATATATATATATATTTTTTTCAATTCTAGGAATAATAAAGCTAGTGTAAGGCTGTGGTGTAGTGAGGTCAAACGGTTTGCTTTTTTTTTTTTTTTTTTTTGGGTACAAGAAGGGCCAAATTCTTACATAGAGGCTTAATTATTATATAAAATAAATGAAGGGTGGAAAACATACAAAAGTAATAATTTGAAAGCCGATTGCACGATTTCTCTAAATACAAGGTTTGTGTTTGGCTAGTTATAAGTGTTTGGATTGGAATGATTTGAGAAAAAATAATTTGCAATACAAATTTCAATACATTTCTTTATTTTTTTAATTATTTTTTATCTCACATATATCCCATTACAAAATATATTATAATAATTATTTCAAATAAACCCCCATCCAAACACATATTTTCGTTATCTCGGCAGACTTCAAAGCAACAAAAGAAAGACTGGAAAAAGGGTAAAAAAAAAAAAAAAAAAAAGAGGTGGTGCTGATGATGGTACGGAGGAAGTTGTCAATTATAAAGGGGTAGTATCCAATGGGCCGGACCGGCAGCCCACAATGCAAGCGATAGCGAAGAGGCCATGGAGAAAATAGCAAATCGTCTGACATAGGCAGCCAGCTTTGGAGTGGGCTGGCGTATGTAGATGGTAGCAATTGAGAAACTGAAGGCTCCCACGATTCCCAACAAAAAAGTCTGGTATGTCTTCGGTTGACCTTTGAAGATGATGGTCGGAATGGGGTAACCGTCGATGTCCTCCGCCGGCAGATACCTTACCGACATGCCTATGACGTAAGAAATGAACAGAATATATTCCTCGCATCCCCACCTGGTGGGGCTGCTGAATGGTAATTGGTCTGTGGTTGATGATTTTGGTGATTTTACTTCTTCCATCTCCACCATCTTGGAAATGCTATCTACTTCCAAATCTCTCTCCCCAGTTTGTGTTTGTGTTTTTTGTGTGTGTCAATTGTTTTTCTGGGCTAGGCCAGTGCGAAATTTTTATACTTCCTACAAAGACAGATTGGCAATTTCTTCCAAGTTTCCTAGTCCTAGCAAAGAAGATGCAGATGACCCTTCAGGCCTTGACTTCTTTTCCGTCCGTTGTTCTTCGCCCGTTCCTCGAAGTTTCCTAGAAACCGACGCGATGACCCTTCTTTCGGTTCTTTAGCACTAGTATTTTGACCCGTGCTATGCACGGGATTATATTTCAAATCAAAATAATATTGTATATCTTTATATATTGTGGTACAGAATAATATATATATATAGACTAAAAATTTTAAAGAAGTGTATGCTTGACATATTGAAAAAATTTTAATTTATAATGATTTACATGATAGATGAATTGTTAACACATTTAAGGAGAGGGTTAGGTTGGGTGGTAAGGTGAAAAGAGTTTTCTTAAAAAAAAATCAATGTATCAGTACCTGACAAAACATCTTATGTTATACCCATATATCAAAACTTATAATATAAAAAAATTATAACCAATTTATTTTCTTCCATTTTTAGAAAAAAATATTTCTTCTATCTTGTACCGCTAAGATTGTTGACTGCATTTAGATTAGCATTTTTCATAAACTTTAACATATATTAAAAGAAATCTCTGTAATATATGTTTTTAGAGTTCTCAAAATTATTAAAAATCATCATCATTTCCCTCTTCTCTTATCCGCTGGCTAGTCATGAGATGCCTCCTTGACTTTCATATTTTCTATCATGGTACCACTCTCTCTATTATTTTTTTTTTTGTCATATCTGTTATATTCCGACAATCCCCCTTTTTCTTCTCTCCTTTTTCCGCCCATCCTTGTAACCCACATTTTTTCTTCAACCTTTCTCGCCACTTTTCAACTCCTCACCATTTTTTTCCCTTCCTCCTCCCCCCATACCCAATCTCTAAATTCATATCCCTTCGACCCAATATATTTAACTTTATCTATCATAATGAAAAATATAAAATTGAAAATTGATTGCAATGGTTGCAATTATTAGTATCTAAATATGAAAATGAAAACTGGTAATATCTATAATATCCTCAAGTACTACAATCAATATATATATGTATATATATTTAATATAGAAAATACATATTTACATATGAAGACAACAATAAGAATACATAAAATAATTAATAATACCAAAAGTTATCCTTAGTGTTTGGGTTTTACACTCTTATTCAAATCTAATCAGGGTCAAATTTGGGCCAGATATATATACAAATTAAGTAGTATTTTAGGGTCGAATGTTCTATATTTTTCTCTTAAACTATAATATTATTTTTTAAAATTTTGTTGGTAGAATTGGTGTTGTTATTATCATTATTTTTATCGAAAATGAATATTTAAAAAAAAATTCCAAGTTAAAAGGCCAGTATTACTTTGTTTTTATTTAGTGATTTCATGGATGGTACCATTCTTGATTTTTTAAATCCTTCTTTTTTGTTTTCTATTTAATTTTGCTCTTTTACTTAGCATTAATAAGTTAAAAGATAAAGTATTATCGTTTACTTTTTTACTTTGACTAAGTTTGGCAATGTTTTCTCTTTATTTACCCTCCACTAATAAACTTCAAACCAACTTCCTATATAATTGGAGCCACTTCTTACTTATTTAAATTAGAAAGGCATGGAAGCCACTTCTTACTTAGAAAAATGTTATTTGCACTCAAATTTTTATTATTTGCAATTTCACCATTTATTTTATCATATAGTCTAATTAATGAAAACTATATGATCAAAATGATTATTGAAGTGTGAATAACAAAATGGAGTGTAAATAATCTTACTTATTTAAATTAAAAAGAAAGCATGAAAGAATGTTATATTTGTTATCTCTTGTTATGGTCTTATGGAAGTTTTAATTGGAGTAGAATCGTTAATAACACAAGGCAATTGAAAACGTAATAGGTTGAAGTTCCAAAATGATATCATGCAGGTTAACCAACAGTTTCAAATGAAATGATTTTAAAAAGTAACCAACAATTTCAAATGTGAAGAGTAGATGTGGAAGTTAAGAGAAATATAATTTATAAATTAAATTAAAAGTAAAATGCTAGAAAAATAGAATTGGTAGTGGGAAAATATGTGGAGACTTGTTGCTAAAAATTCCTTCTCAAATTTATATAGATATAGATTTGTCAAAAAGCTAGTGTGAAAAGTTTGCCCGATAGGAAATTCCTGTCCAAACGGCTGAGATTAGCTAGGAAAAACTTCCTTTTTTTTTTTTTCATTTGTGAGGGCCCTAGCATTTTGTTTCGTACGATGCTTGTTACTTTTGTGTATACGCTGTGATGTTGCGTGGACATTCCCGGGAAAGGACGCGGAACGAACGAACGATTTTATATAAAATGTAAAAGATGTATGCGTGTAATTCATTCACTTTTATAAAACGTAAAAGATGTACGCGTGTATGGGCGTGTGTAATTTATTTTTAATAACGCGTAATTATAAAATAAAATTTTATAAATTTCGTACATAATATAAAAAATAGTATATAAAATATAATATGACTTTTTTTTTTATTTTTTTTTTACTAAATTTTGACTATAAGCCTTAAAAAACGATTGATTCCTGCAACCATTACTGTCCTTCTCTCACATGGGATAATGCTTGAGATTTAGAGACCCATAAACAAATTTTTTTTTTAAAAAAAAAAAGAAAAAAGAAAAAGGAAGAGTGAGAGAATGTGAGAATACTTTCAAGTTTCGATAAAACCACAAACAAATGCAAAGTAAATGTACATGTAGTAGGAGTATTGAAAAAAAAAAAGAAAAGAAAGCCAATAAGAAAGGATTAATTGTAAAATGTATCCTCCAATACCTTTGGATTTGTAATTTACACCTTGAACTACGAATGGTGATATATTTATCTATAAATTTTTAGCGCTTTACGTCAATCTAGTAGACTTTAGTTAAGAAAAGTTGTCATGACAATTTTGTCCCAATATGAGTAATCAAAATTCCTAAAATAATTTTCTTATCGTTCCACATTCTTTACTCCCTATAAATCTCACTTCACTCTCTAATTTTTTTTCTCTCAACAACTTAGTTTTTTTTTTTTTAATTATAAGTGTAAGCGAGAGGTTTTAAATACCAAGTCTTTCACTTATATTATCTAACCTATTCCTTCCTCCCCCTTGGTCAACATATAGTTTCCTTTAATTCCATCCTTTTAGCTAATTTTTTTGTTTTCAAGCAAACCCGCAAAACTCTTCTGTGTCTCCTTCTTAATTAACCCACAAATCAATCATGGTTTTTTCAATCTCCCTTACCTATTGATTTTTAAATTCTCAAGCAAGCCCCAAAACTCTTCTCCTTCTCATTCTTGCTAAATCCAATAATCAACCATACTTCTTTTCAAACCCCCAATCACTTTTTCTTTCTACACCAATCTAAAAAACAATACTACTATTTTACCATCTTGATTTGCGCACACCATATGAAGTGTGACAGTAGTTGTGCTTATATTTTAGTTTTGGTTTCAATTATGATGAGTTTATCTTAATGGGGTCGATTTGGGTCTTTTAGTTTAATTAATTTGCTTTGGTTTTTTTAATTAATTAATTAATTTGCTTTGAGTTAAGTGAAGGTTAACTATGATCAGTGGTTGTTGATAGGAACACTTAACTCTAGGAGAGGAACGAAAAATGAAATCCAACCTACAAAAGCTTTTAAAATTGCTTTTGTGGTTGTGGTGGCAGTGTTAGCAAAAGTTGCGGTGGTTGTGGTAGTAAAAGGTTAAATTAGTGAACATACATTTTGCAGGGTCGTTGAAGTCCTTTCACTAATGCTCAACCCGCCAAAACAAATATGATAATTGAGTATTCTGTCAAAATTTCACAGATAAAGTTTTGGGTGCGAGTCACAAGCCAGCAATAGTTTAAGGGTGCATTTTGAAATAAACCCAAAAAGGCTACTGAAATTAACCGACAAGCGGTGAGGTCCCGGCGTCCCGCCAAGCATGAATCATGAATCCAACAGTTGATGGCTTCTCTAATATGCCGAACCCGACGATTTCTTGTCCCGACAAAGCCTTCATTCAGCAGCTATCTGGCCTTATATACCTTCCCTATCTCTACAGTTTCAGCTGTAGCGCCCGCAAACTACTGGAAAACCTTTTCGCATATTTTTCAAGAATGCTCAAAAGAGAGAGCTTTAGACCCGGGAATGCAATCCCACGCCAGAATGTTAACTACTGGGTTCAAACCCTCAATTTTTGTCTCGAATTGTTTGATTCAAATGTATGTAAGATGCTCCTACTTACACTATGCTAATAAAGTGTTTGATAATATGTCTCAAAGAGACACGGTTTCGTGGAATACAATGATTTTTGCTTATTGTTCAACCGATATTGCAATGGCTCAATCATTTTTTGGTTTGATGCCTGAGAGGGATGTTATTTCGTGGAACACTTTGATTTCAGGTTACCTGCAAAATGGGGATTACAGAAAAGCAGCCGAAATTTTTGTCGGGATGCAAAGGGAGAGCGTGGCTTCTGATGGAACCACTTTTGCTGTGGTTCTAAAGGCTTGTTCCGGTTTGGAAGATTATGAGTTGGGAATTCAGGTGCACAGCGTTGTAGTTAAGGTGGGGTTTGACCATGATGTGGTAACCGGTAGTGCACTTGTAGATATGTATGGGAAATGTAAAACATTAGATGAGTGCTTTCAGTTTTTTGGAGAACTTCCAAATAAGAATTGGGTTTCATGGAGCGCTGCAATTGCGGGCTGCGTTCAAAATGATGAGCTTGTTGGTGGATTAAAATTGTTCAGGCGGATGCAGAGAGAGGGAGTTGGGGTGAGTCAATCGACTTATGCTAGTGTTTTCCGGTCATGTGCTGCACTATCTGAGGTGCAATTGGGATCTCAATTGCATGGTCATGCAATCAAGAATAATTTTGGATACGATGTCATAGTTGGAACTGCCACTTTGGATATGTATGCAAAGTGTGGTAATTTGTATTATGCTAAGCAGATATTTGACTTGTTGCCCAACCGCAGTTTGCAATCTCATAATGCTATTATTGTTGGCTATGCTCGAGGTGATTGTGGATATGAAGCTCTAAACGTTCTTAAGCTTTTATTAAAGTCCAACCTTGGTTTCAATGAAATAAGCTTATCTGGTGCATTTAGTGCTTGTGCAGTGATCAAAGGATTAAAAGAGGGAACTCAAATACATGCATTAGCTACCAAGAGTCCTTTCTCGTCTGATGTTTGTGTGGCAAATGCCATACTTGACATGTATGGAAAATGTGGAGCATTGGTTGAAGCTCGTTGCACATTTGATGAAATGGAAGTAAGGGATGCTGTCTCTTGGAATGCAGTCATTGCAGCTTATGAGCAGAATAGGAATGAAGAGGAAACCGTACTGCTATTTGTTTCAATGCTTAAGCATGGCATGGAACCTGATGAATTTACTTTTGGTAGTGTACTAAAAGCATGTGCAGGTCAGCAAGCTCTTAATCACGGGATGGAGATTCACAGCTTGATCATTAAATCTGGGATGGGGCTTGAATCATTTATTGGAAGTGCTCTTGTGGATATGTATTGTAAGTGTGGAAAGGTAGGAGAAGCTGAGAAGCTTCATGGCACAATGGATGAACAAACAATTGTTTCATGGAATGCAATCATTTCTGGTTTCTCATCACATGAACAAAGTGAGGAAGCTCAGAAGTTCTTTTCTATGATGTTAGAAATGGGAGCTAAACCTGATAATTTCACCTATGCAACTGTTCTTGACGCTTGTGCTAATCTGGCAACTGTTGAGCTTGGAAAGCAAATCCATGCTCAGATAATCAAGCAAGAGTTGCAGACAGATGTGTTCATAACTAGCACTCTAGTCGACATGTACTCGAAGTGTGGGAACTTGCAGGATTGCAGGTTGGTATTTGAAAAAGCAACAAACTGTGATTTTGTGACATGGAACGCCATGGTTTGTGGCTATGCTCAGCATGGTCTTGGAGAAGAGGCTTTGGAGATCTTTAAAAAAATGCAACTCAAGGATGTAAAACCTAATCATGCAACCTTTGTGGCAGTTCTCCGAGCTTGTGCACATATAGGTCTTGTTGAGGAAGGGTTGCATTACTTCAAGTCCATGCAGGTTGATTATGGGTTAGATCCGCAGTTGGATCATTATTCTTGTATGGTGGATATACTAGGCAGGTCAAACCGAGTCACTGAAGCCCTGAAGCTTATTCAAGAAATGCCTTTCGAGGCTGATGATGTAATTTGGAGGACACTTCTCAGCATATGCAAGATGAAAGGGAATGTAGAGGTGGCAGAGGAAGCAGCAGCTTCTCTTCTGCAATTGGATCCTCAAGATTCCAGCACCTGTGTTCTCTTATCAAATATCTATGCTGATGCTGGAATGTGGGAAGGGGTTTCCAGGCTAAGGAAAGTGATGAGGCACGGTCACTTCAAAAAAGAGCCAGGTTGCAGCTGGATAGAGGTCAAGTCCGAGGTACATATGTTTCTTGTTGGAGACAAAGCTCATCCAAGATGTGCAGAGATATATAACAGCTTGACGGCTTTAATAGACGAAATGAAGTGGGCTGGTTGTGTTTCTGACGGTGATGGAATGGAGGATGACTACGTGGCATGTTGTCATGCAAGTACATTCTCCAGCCTCTAAAAAAGGGTGAAAGCCTGGTGACAACTGAGTAAAGACCTCCAAAATCATGCTTTGAATTTTATCATCAACCGCTGTTATCACAAAATTGTTCTCCCCTCTCTACCAGCCAGCGTCTCTCTTTTCGATTGCTATCCCTCTCAAATCCAAATGTCTGTACATGCCTGTTCATTTCACCATTGTTCTCTCTTCATTGAAGGGGCGCTAGTGTCCCATCCGCAAGAACTAATATGCACGATAGAAAGTTACAGCTAAGGCAGAACAGGAGGAATTTGCGCTGGTGTGCTAGCTTCCATACAGGTTTTGTATGAATGGAAATGAAATATGAGAAAGGAGCTAATAAAAAAAGGCTTGACCGACTCAGCTTCTTAAAACTATATACGCGATGGCAACAAAACTTCCTACCTCGTGGCTAAGTAGTTCATGCTTTTTCTCTTCCTCGCTCAAGCTACTCAGTAGGTGAGCATAATACTACAGTTCAAGTTACATCAGAGCAAAAGAGGAAGATAACAAAACACCATAAAAGGAGCATCACCACATCATTTAAGCACTCCTAACCATGAAAACAACGTCCTCTACGTAGCTAATAGGCAAAATGCGCAAGATAGCTATGATGCGGCCAAAATTTCTTCCCACTATGGCTGGCACAAAATTCAGGATATCGGATGAGGTCCGGTTTACCTACTTCACAAACAGTCACTGTGATGCTGAAAAAGGGCAGCTATTAGAGTTGCAATCACCATCACAAAAACTGCCACCAGGACACACTTGGATTTAAGTTGACTTGCATCTATATTCCTCACAGAGTCGAGATCGGATGTTTCTTTGGCTACTCCGACCCCAGCTGTGCCCATGGGCTTGTCTTTATTTGCATTGTCAAGCTGAAAATAAACGCAAGCAGAGGCATTAGAGTATACTTCCAGAGTTTTTTTTTTTTTAATAAAGCAGTACTTCTAGAGTTCATGTAACATCTATTGCTGAGAGGTATCCAGTAGATTATACACCCCGAATACTTTAAAAAAAAAAAAAGAATCCGAAAATCAGAAAGCATCTGAAGCAGGTTAAGGAAGCAAAAAAACAACACAACTCCAAAAATCAGAATCAAGGGGCAGAGAATTGTTTGACTCGCTTAAAAGGTCAGCAATAAGCCATATTCTTGATAGTATTGATTGATGAAGCACAAAAGGCAAAGTTCAAAAGACAAAATCATTGCAGCAGTTGTTCAAGCAGTTATGGCAGTACAAAATCCTCATAAATAACAATCCTCTCCTTGAGCTGACTATGAGAAACTAAGGTGCATTCTGCTTTCAAATTTAGCGCATCAAATGCAACAACGTACAGTGTAAAGAATAAAAAACCAACCTCATGACTGGTATTTGAGGGTCCAGTTGCGTCACTGTTAGTTTCCTTTAAAGAAGTTCCACTTGATAAGTCATTCCTTGAAACTTGGAAAACTTTTGTTACTATCTTCAATGTCTTTCCTTGCATTATAGAATGACCTTGCTCATGTGCTGTAGACGCTTTAAAAGAAACTTTTTCTCCTTCGTTAGCAAAGATATCTGCATGCAGGTCATGAACAAATTGAAATATCAAAAAAACAGACAAAGCACTATAGATCACACTATAGTTTTCTGCAAATATTTCCTTGACATAAAATCTTCATTGAGCAAATAGACAGTTCCTGGTCTAAAAACGTGATTTTGCTTAGTTGTTCACCCAGGCATTACCAATATTAAAAACAGACCCTTCTAAAAAGATTACTAAAGATCAAGACCAGCAGAACTGACAATTAAATGAATACGAGGGAATCACAGTACAAAGGATCTCAGTTTATTTAGCCTTATAAAGAGTACTAAAGATCAAGACTAGCAAAACTGAAAATTAAAATGAACACAAGCACAGAAAGTCAGAAAGGATTGAGAAATAGAACCATCTGATTTAATTTGTTCTCAATAGCCATGAGGTGATCATCTAGTGGAAGCATGTTGAATTAAGAACAGACAGTAAACGTCTTTATTATGGGCGTTTTACCAAAGGACCTCAGCTTATTTAGCCTAAAGTTCAGTCAGTTATCTATTAATTCAAAGTAATGAACTTTTGAAGGTTTATAAAAAAAAATTAAAACCTGCTTATGCAGCCGTTCTCTTTCCAGAGCCAACTTCATGATAAGATCTGTTATCAACTTAGTCCGGATACCAATATCCTTTGCAGTTGCTCTCTTTGTCTCCTCAGCTTGATGTAGTGATGCATCCAAGCACTCCATTCTGTTCCTTAGAAACTTTATCTCGTCATTTAGATCTGAGTTGGTTTCTGACAATATTATACACTTTTCTTCAGCACTCTCAGTCCGACTTTCAGCTTTTGAGACTTTAGATTTGAGATCTTCTATCAAATCTTCCATATCCTTGATCGTCGAATATAACATGCTTTGCTTCTCCTGACTTGCTTCAGCAGATGCAACTGCATGTTGTAGCTGAACATCAGTCTCTCTCAATTGCCTTTCAAGTAGATTTACTGTCTCCAAAGTACTACTATTACTATCTTTTTTAAGTTCCATATTGGTATGCCTTAGCAATTTGCTTTCAGCTTCTGCACCATCAGCCCTTTTTTCTGCTTCGGAAACCTTTTCTTTCAAATGACAGACAAGCTCTTCCAGTTCATGAATTTTAGAGAGTGATTCCCTTTGTTTTTCTGCAGAACCCTTCAAATTAAAGAGCTGCAATTCAGATTCCTTCACTTGTTTCTCAGTTGAAGTCAACTTAGCCACAAGTTCTGCATTCATGCCCTCAGATTTCCGTAGAGCAACATTGTTCATTGTCAACTGTTTACTTAACTCCTGACACTGAGATCTCAACCCTGCTTCTCTCTGGACACTAACATTTAGATTAAACTTTACTATCTGGAGTTGACTCGTGAAATCTTTTGACGTCCACAAAAGGACCTCAGCAGAATTTTCTGCCTCAAACAACTTTTCCCAAGCAACCTCATTTTCTTCTTCCATATAAAAAATGTCTTGTTGCAGCTTAAGTTTCAAAATTTCCTCACTTTGTCTCAAGTCAGTTAGCTTCTTCTCAAGATCCAGTTCCCTTGCCAAAGACTTTTCAAACATTCTCAAGATATGCCTCTGCTGTTCAGCAGTCTGCATCTTTATCTTTGAGTTCAAATCTGAAGAATAACCATTTCCGACAGAGTCGATGTCCTTGTCACCTTTTAGTGCAAAAAGAAAGATTATTATTTTAGAACAATTAGTTCTCAGAACAGGATAGTTAGCCTAATGTGGTAAATGAGGAATTCATCTATAATTACTTTATGCATGCAGTAACTAAGTAAAATAGTGCTACAGACATCTCACCTTCACCCATACAGGATTACTAAAACAAGTACAAAAGAAACATGGACAGATAGTTCCCATAATTCTCTACCTAAGACCAACAAAGAAAATTGAGACTTGTTGCAGTGGAAAACAAACTAATTAGCAAACCTCCTGCTACTTTGAGATTAAGCTAGGATGTCACCTTGTACTAAATGCAAGAGGACTCTATACGTACATCAGACCTGTAATCCCTCGTGCCAAAAACAGGCAACTCTCTTAGAGAACTGATGCTTGCCCCTTACACATAATTATTTATTTCCTTCCTCTTTCCCTCTCTCTGAAATCATATTTTGCTAAAGACATCACTGAACAGTGAACATGCCATATTACGTCACATATTCACAGACGATGCAATTTATGGGACGCAATTCTAAGAAACAAACCTCCTTTGAATTCCCTTAATTACTGAAGTATTAAAAACGTTCTGGATCCCCTAAGCAGCATGGCATGTCAACCAATATTTTTCCCTACACAGTGCATAAGGGTCCTGTCCACAGAGCCTGGGCAGCACTGGTACACACCATTACCATCCAAAGCAGAGATGACTTTACTGTGTATCTAAGAAATTGCACTCCCAAGGCACAAAAGTGCAACCTTGCTGTGCCAACCAACCACCATCCCCCCCCCCTCCCGGGTGGTAAATAAACAATTTAAATATGAAAAGATTAAATATTTACCTTCAGAACAAGTTAACAATGTCCTTTGGAAGTTGTTGGATTGCACCCTCATTTCTGAAACCTGCTCCAATGACTGGTCAAAAGATTTTACACAGTCCGTTAACTTTTCTTGCATGTACTCGAAAGCTTCCCCATAATGCTTTGATGAAATAGTCATTTCGCGAGCATTATCAATTTCCACTCGGAGAGTTACTATAAAATTATCTAGGTCTTTCACCTCTGACTCCAAAATTCCAGATAAAAGATCAAATTCAAGGGCCTTCTTGGCAGAATCACCAATTGTGCTCTCCTTCTCCGAAACAAAAGCTTCAAAATCACTTTCCCTTGCTCCCACGTGCATTACAAGTATATCCAAATTTAGGAGTTTCTCAGAGAAACATGCTAAATCCAACTCAACCTTTGTCAAAAGTTCCCCAACGTTCTCCAGTTCTCGCATAATGTCTCCACTGGAGGACATAACTTCAAGAGAATCTATATAATTTGATTCCACCTCCAATTCACCAGCATGAACTTCTTCAGAAACAGATGCAGTGTTGAGGACCTCCGAATCCATTTTACTAATAACCAGATTCAATAGCTGAAAAGCAAATAGATGCATATATCAATCAACAACTGTTTCCTTAGGCATAACTAAGAAATCTACAACATAGTACTTTCCAACTCAAGAACTTCACAAAATCATTTCTCCTTTTTCAAAACCTTTAATATATCAGAACTTAAAATATTAGAGCCAAAGATTATAACATCAACTAGCAATGTTATAAAATCAATGTCAACCTCTATAGTTCTTTTAATTTAGCATAAGAATAGCAATACTATTGAAAAAACCCACATGAACAGGATTCAATTATGGATGCCAAATGATGTATTACCAGCATTCTCTTTCAGTGGATTTGCTCCCCTAAGCCCAGAGAATTTCCAAACTGACAACGCAGACCCATTTAAAGGTTTTACTAAAGACCCACCTTAACAGCTGCTGTGCATCAGAGGAACTTTTTATTTCCCAACAAAATTGCTTGTCATCTCCTATTTCACTTTATCATCTTAGAGAATCTGCAGAAGTTTTGGTACAGATGCAGGAAATCATTCAATAAAAAGAAAACCAAGTTAGTGAGAGAGAGAGAGAGAGGCCCAAATCCCTTTAATGGGTCAAAACCATCAAATCCCAATCACACTCTTCCCCGAGAGAAACCCATGTATATAATCAACAAAAAATTTTACATACCCATTGTAGAAGATCTCATATGCAATTTAAAAGAGGTGTAAATTGCTACTCAGATAGATTAAAAAAGAAAGTACTCGACGTGCAGCTGGAGAAGTTAGAGAATAGAAATAATTGGACAAAGAAGGAAACTGAAATAGGGGTTTTGGAGAAAAAATGCACCTTTGAGAAATTAGCGGGGGAGGCAGTAAACGCGAAGTTGTTTTCATGTAAAAATAAGAACCAACTAAACTTCCCACAAGAATCGATCACCTTCTTCTTCTTCTTTCTCCTCTCTCTCTCTCTCTGCTTTCTAGTACGGAGTGAAATTAAGTGAATCATCATCGTACATTATACCCGCGATCAACACTTGTTGGGCTGTTGGCAGTCACATGACTTTGAGCCATCTATCATGGGCCGATTGTGAGCGTTTCAGACTTGGGTAAAAAACTTTTCATTCAATCTTTTGCAAGTGCGTTCATCTCGAATTTTGGGCCTCTGACCGAAACCTTTGTGAACTCTTACAGGCCCAAAGAAAGCAATAACTGCAAAAAAAATTTCCTGGAATTTTTGGACGAATTTGATTCTTTGAATAATGTATTATTGAATAGAAAACATCTTTAACTATTTGTCATTGGCAGATTTTTTTTATTTATTTATATTAATCTTTGCATGAATGACTTCAATAACTATTTTAATGACGTTATTTATGCCCTTGCAAGTATTATTCCAAAGCAAACGAGTGGTCTGGAATTGGATGCTACGCAGCATGTGTAATTGCCAAAATCCATGGTAAATATTTTAGTCAGACACCTAATTTTTGTTAGAAAAAAATCCAACCAAAGAGGGGAATGAATTATGAAACATTTGGCCGGCAAAATTTTGTTTGTTATGTGTTCCTTTCAAACCCTTTTTTGTGGGCCTTTTTGGGGGGGCCCATTCAGACCGCCCTTTCCTCGCAAGTGGCCAGTGTGATTCGATTTGTGAACACAAAATTATATTGCTGGATGGTAGACAAAATTGAGTGAGGATTGATGGCTGCGAAAATTATGACTTCTAACCTACAGATAAACATTAAATCAATATCAAATATGCAAATTTGTTTTTCAAAGTCACTTGTATATGAAAGCAAAATACAAAACCAGTAATCCAAATCTTTACAAATTCCATCATCAACGAGACCAAAATACACATTTATCTCAAGAATTCTAGATGTCAAGAAAAGGCAACCCTTGGTCCACCAGCATGGTTGCTTCATTGCAAAACCAGCAGGTACAGTAATAATGATGGGGCTGAAAATGATCTGAGCAAAGTGGAAAATCAAATTATCCAAACATGGCTTGATTTTCTGACAAGTTCTCTGTCCATGCCAGACATGATTGGTATGTGAATTTGTAACAGAAAAGCTAATCTCAAACTTACTGAACGATTTTTTAAAAGCTAAAACTGGAGTCAGGCATCACGCATCTAGAATCATCCGCCATCCATATAAGAAGAGGTTAAGGCAAATCAGGATGTCCAGTTACAAAGACTATAATCCAATAGCACAGAAACCTTGAAGAAGAGAGAGATGTGCATATAGGGTTAAAAGGTCCAACAATATAACGAATATGCAAATCAATAAGGTCCTTGAGAAAATATCGCTTCAGGGACACATTAACCTAAACGAAACCAATGGGCCATAAACGATAAATATGGATTGCATACATTTCCAGAATAAAGATGGTGAACAATATAGCAGTATACTTACTTAGCTTCCTGAACAGAACTTGGACAAAGCTCAGCAGCATACTTCACAAGCTCGCTCAGGCAATGAGCCCATCTGTTCTTGTCAGGGCTCTCAAATAGTATGGACTGGAGAGTGACATCAGGAGGCACAGCATCAGATTCTCGTCTCAAATCAAAAGGCCGTCCAGAATCCCAGTAACAGCTCTGCACAATATCATCCTACAAAAGACATGTTGTGTGATTCTTTAATGTAATAAATTAAAAGAAATAAAGCATACAAGAATACTTAAATGTCATCTAAGTAAGAAAATTCACCCCATTTTCTTCTAAAACATCAATTAAAAATATTGGCTCAGCATCCTTTTTCAACAAATGATCTGATCGCTCAACTACTGAAAGCTCTCGTATATCATTTCGTAAAGCTCTAACACAACGAAGCAACTCCAATGCCGTGTGCCTGATCTGGCTATCAACAGAACTTAAGAATATAAGACCAACTGCATCTATCTCTGAAGCACGAAATTCAATTGCTTCTTGAGGTTGATGGAAAGAAGACTTTTTGAGTCCTTCATTTCTCTGGAGACGTTTGACATCCATGGTATCAGATTCAAACTTATCATCAGCCAGACAAGCTCTCCAGAACCGCATGAGTTCCAGAAGGCGCCCTAGTGATGTTTGAATAAGAAGAGGGAACTCATCTGGGAGACGCAAAATAAAATTTGCCATCCCTCTCATTACTGCAAAACGGCGATGGGGAAGATACCTCACAATGCGATTGAGTACTTGGACAGCTTCTTCTCGAACTCCAGGATCAATACTGATGCCATGTTGAGGAATTATTTCAGTAATTTTATCACTTCGGCCTACTTCTTCAATCAGATATGGTATGCACTTAAGAACTGATCGGAATAGATATCCCTGAGATTTCTCCTTAGTCAGAATCTGTGGAAGTAGACCATCAATATCTTAAAGGCCAATTTGTCAACACAGTGAAGAAATTAACAAAGAAGAAGAAGCAGAAGAAGAAATTCTAGAAGTTTGAAGACTGATAACTATATTCCTAAAGAGTTATTCTATGAGAAGATGCATGCAATACAAGCAACATTAAGGGAATAACTTAAGTAGTAAAAAAAGAAGACTCAACAATGAATAACTATATAAAAGATAAAATACAAGGAGAAAGGAAATACGATCTGGTCTATAAGATAGAAGAACATAGACAGACCAAAGTAAACAAAATAATACTAAATTTTGGTAGGTAAGCAATACCGATTGCAGTCCTTGAACAAGTTAAAAGGGCTTGACTATATGCTCTATGGCAGGATCTCAGAATAGATTCAATTGCAGCCTTCACTTTTGGAACATAATGCCCAACGCCCTGAACTGTCAAAGTGAAACAATTTCATAATTAATCTACACGTTTCAACAACAATAAAAAGATAATAGATACAGAGTACTTGATATGTAACTCATCATTTTACCATGAAGAATTTCCAAACCAACATGCTGGCTTGTAGGGGACATGACAATGGCAAGCAAAGCACGAAGTCCAATAACCTTTGCTTCACTTAAATTATCTTGCTTCAGTAATTCCAATATCATATGGTTCATAGCAAAATCAAGGTTATGCTCCGCAATGGTGACACAAAATTCTACGAGTTTATCATGTTGGATATCCTGTGTAAGCATTCCTTTCCTGATACTAGTCAAAAGCTGTGAAGTTACACTGTCCAGATAGTCCCACACACGATATGGAGGTTGAGAATCTCCATGAACACTCAAGTAAAACCTCAAAACTCGATGCAGACAATCTAGGGCCATGAAGCGATGGTTCTTATCCTGCATAAAATATCCAATTATATTTTTGTGAACCACCAAAAGCATGCCAAAACCAATATCTCTTCAGGCCTTGACAGGGCAATGATCAACTGATGGAAGAAAAGAAAGGGAAAAACAGCCCTGGTCAAGATTAGATGAACATAGCTCACCTTAAGATGTTTGTATAGTTGTTCCATGTGGGTACCAAAGTTGTTGAGGAAAACATTAGGATCGCCGAGACAAAGAAGAAGTGTCACCAAAGGGTAACCAACCTGAACATAGAAATACTTTCTAGGTTCAGAAAAGGAAATGAACCAAAGAAAAGCATTTGTAGAACTAGGACTAAAAGAAAATTGAGTGTCAATTTGTTATTTCTTAAGGAACAGCCAACCAAAAAGTCCTTCATACTATCAACAATAATAATCAAATTTGCTTAGAAGGACATACTACAACCAAGAATCAGCATTATGTGCTACCAAATTAGTTATTGAATTTCTCTTTGGTACGAGTTATCAAAGGCAAAATTACAACCAAAATCCTTCAAACTAATAAGATTCCATGATACCAAAAATTCTACCTAATAGGAGAACTATCAGAAAAAAAAAAGGGATGGTTTAGTTAGTCGACATTATGGACAACCAAATTTCCCTGTCTTCTATCTTTTTCTTGACAAGCACATACACCAACAGGTTTTCTTGGAGAAACACCTCTACCAGAGACATAAAGCATTAAAGAAGAAAAATTGTCCATCTACAACAATATAAATTATAAGAGATGCATTCAAAAGAGCTTAAAGCCAAAGAAACCACTTAGTCAACAGCTTATATTAGTGAACAGGAATAATGCATGGCACTAAATAATCAGGCATAAGATCTCCAATAAAGTGCAGCATGTTTGTTGGTTTTCCTGACATTCAGCAAAAAACTGAAGAGTAGCACAAACAAGAAAAAGAATTCAGTTACATACAATTAATCTTATCTGTATAACCTTGTCCCATCACTAAAATACTTCAGTAACATCGAGTTTAATATCGTAATTCAGGTTTTTCCAGCAGGCCTTAAAAACTTCATAAAGTCCTCTCCCTCCTCTCTTTCTTCTTTCCCCACACTCTCCCCTCTCCCTTTCCCTTCATCCGCACATGTCAAAGCTTTTTAGAAGATATTTCACTTCAAATTACAAAATGAACATAGATCCAGAAACTAAACAATATAAAAGAAATAGAAGGCAAAAATATATGCTTTTCATGTACTTACAGCTATATGCTTGCTCTGTTTATCCATCCAATACATGAGGTGCTGCCTAATGCGTGCAACAGCTTCATACCAAAGAGTAAGAGCAGGTTCCACACCTGAAGGAGGCCATTGACCTTTTCCACCATCTGCAAGTGGTGCTAATATGTTTGAAAGCATATTGCACAAGGCATGGTGAAGTTCACTTTTTCGTTTATGGGGTGCACGATTAAGAGGATTAGCCTTTGCAACAAAGGAAGCTGATGCATTCAATCCACCCTCCGTTTTAACCTGACATACATCTTATCGTTACAGAAATTATTTCATTCAAAACTGACCAATAAACAAATCCAAACTTACCCCAAGCTTAAGGTAGCGCATCCCATTGATAATACAAAGTGTTTCACTTCGAGCAACACTGTATCTATCCGACGAGTATTCAGTTCCATGAAAAAGCGCTCAGTCACAGAACTAAATCTGTTAAGGCAAAGAGAAACTGTTAAAAATTTTTGGGGAAATATCATGACCACTTTTAAAGATATTGGGGGAAACCAGTTATTAAGACCTGCCCAAGTTAAATTTAGAGTATCATTCAAACTAACTTGAACTATACTAACAACAAATGGATCCAGCTCTATTTACAGTCAGTTTAATTGATATTCTGTTTACCTGATCCGAGACAAAGCACCAAGGAGCTGCGCAACGAGATCCAAAAGAAGGCCCCTCAGATCCACAAAGAAGGATACTCAACCTGGCTAACAACCCTGCAATAACCAATAACTATATATCATGCAATGACTGTGCGTCATAAGCCAACAAGTGAAGAGCATTTATTCCCAAATGCTGGTCCAAAAAAATACTGAATCATGATAGTATGGCAAAGATAGCAATTCCAAAAACTTCATCATTAATCACACATACAACAGCACTAATCTCATCCTTATTAAATATTATTCAACACCACTTAGTTCAGTAATTGGTTCAGCTTGAAATATGAAATTCAACAAGCGAGCAATATAAGCTCCTATGGTTAACAAAGTTGAAACATTCTGAAGGCATTCCACTCTAAACTACAATATTTGACTTTCTAACTGGTCTCGGGAAATAAATCAAACAAGCTAAGAACCTTTCACCCAATCCAAACTGACACAGGCAGACCTTCTAAGACACTAGAGACTTAAGAAACTAATTAACAAAATAAAACTGAAAATTTACTCTACCAGGAACAAGAATCTGACCATGGAGTTCTACTATATAGAAAATTCAGCTTCATTAGCTTTACCTGTCTGCGTTGATTAGCCAGTCGAAAACAAAATTTTCAAGTCCAATCCAGAGCTTCTCTGGCAGCAAGATAAGTTAGCATAACGAAGAAGAACAGCCCCCCCCCTTCTTAAAAAAACAACAGGAACATGGAAAACCTGTAAGTCCCTCTTGTGGGCAACACTCCACAAAGCGGATGCATGCTGAGCAAAGATGCACTCCAAGCTAGCTGAAACACAAATTACACAGTCAAGCACGGTATCTGTACTGTAAAAATAACATTTTTTACTTTTGGTCTATTGTGCCACCTAATATTCCAAAGTCATCATTCAAATATATCCTGTGAATTGGGCTTGCAAATTTTAGGAAAGCAAGAACAAGCAAAAGTAGCAAAAGCCAATATTCAACAATTCAAAATCTAAAGTTTAAAGAAAACTGTCCCTTTATGTACATGTGAATCTTTGTGAATGGGCTTAATATCATTGTGCCATTAGAAGAATTATGCAGTTGCGTTACAATGTATGCTTGTGACCACATGCAGGAATTATAGGCAAACAGCAATTATTGCATGTAACAGACACATGCATTCTTTTGCCTGCATCTCTGTTATCAACTCATTGGACATGGACAAACCTTTCTCTGAAATGTTGATGCATTTCATTTGCTCCTTTGGGAGATTCATGCTAGCAATAGAAAATTGTAGAAGATCAGAAATGCAATTTTTGAACTTATCTTCACTAACAAAAGAAATAAAGAGCATCAGCCTATCTTAAATTTAAACGAGTCAGCAGCAGCTAATAATTCGTAGGGAACTTGTGTTGGAGAAGGAAACAAAAAAACAGTACTTACACCTTAACTCCAAAGAGCTCACTCTTCAAAGTTCAATATATTCATTCAGAAAAAAGAATGCAAACCTGTTATACTAACACAAACATCTCCATTTGACTAAAGAATCTTCCAGTTAAGGTGCAGGAGTTAAGCATGTATTCCATTTTATTTGACAACGCTTTTCTTTGAATTTTCTTTATTACTCATCAGGAAGTTAATTCTACTAATGGAAAATAATTGTGGATTATCTGTCTTCTAATTTAAAATTTTTGGCCTTCAAGAGAAAATAAACAAATATACTATGTCCCGTTCAAATATCGAAAGGTATATAGTCATACTAAGAAAAATTGTTCATCAACTTTTAATGGATAAGGCATTCATATAGGAGCATCTCATGATTATAAACAAAAAGCGAGTAGCAATCTATATCCCATAAAACCTAGAATTAAAAGCTATAAATAACCTTTCTCTCCACCGCAAAAGGGCTTCCAAAAGAGGCACAGGTGTATGTCGTGCAAGGGGGGGGGGTTTAGGAATTGAACCTAGAATTCCTGGAGCCTCAACCTCACATGGGAGAAGGTTTTGTATTTAAAAATGAGAGTATGAGAGCCATAGTTCCACTGAGAAGATTATCCATCATCCTCAAGTTTCGTTACAGGTACGTGATTAGCTTTGGCTCAAAATTTCATCTTGTACATATATTCATTACTCGCTTTTCTTGTTTTCCAGGGATAGACATGGAATAGCCACAAAGAAAGACAAGATCTTGTGTATATTCATGATTGTGGTTGCTGTATTCTCTAACCTGGTGGCCATATATAGCGATGCTTACTCATTGTTCAAGAAAAATGCATCACCCAGGGGGTGATATCTCCCTTTACTGCGTGCTGAAATGAATGTGGCAGTCCTGGCTACATGCACATCTTGAAGGTTCCCAAAATGTGGGAAGAGTTCGGGTCTTGTAGGATATCTGCCCCATAAAACTTTTAATAGAAGCGCTCTGCTCAATTTATTGTTGAGGTAATTCGTTTGATATGTATACAAATGTATGTGGAACCTGGCTTTGTAATTTGCTTCGATGGGCATTGTTGTTTTCAACTGTCCAAATTGGATTTCCGTTTGCTGGAAGAAGTCGCAGAAACACAGGATCAAGCTTGTTCATATTTCTTGTATCTATTGGTTTGCCAGTGTATTAAATATTCCTTGTAAGAATCTTGTGTGATGATTCTGGTTATGGCCCTTCACTGTACCTTTTTCATGGAATGTCGTGATTATCAAATACTAGTTAAATACAACCGTTTGTTGTGCTTCCTCCAACGAGAAAATCCAGTTTATATGATGAAGAGAAAATTCGAGTTCACCCGTACAAAGAAAGAATTTGGATTTGCTGCAAGTAGGCTACAGGCTATTTCCAGGGCATGTTACAAGCATTTTTCTGATCTCTGAAGCCTGCATCACAAGCCATCAATGAGACTCTCTCTTTTGATTCCAGGAGTTGATTCGAAGAAGAAGGCAAAGATTTGATACAATTCAACCTTTCAAAGTCGGATGACTATACATTTGAAAAATACAAAAGACAACCGTCCAAGACGACAATGAGTATTCAATCAACCTAACTCGCGAGATATTTAATCATACTCGCCCCACATCTCACAAGAACTGAATTTTTTGGGTAATCAATAATATTAGCACGCCTAACTTCATGTGAAATAAGAGTACTACAAACTATTGGTCGGTGTATCCTAAATATTCGAACAAAATACTACCACAATAATCAACTAATATCAGAGGCCATCTATGTACAGAAACGGCTATCTCAATTTTCAGCATTCCATCTTCCTAAAACAGAGATGCAAGGGATAATATACATGCTATGATCTTACAGATTCCCGGTGCTGGTCACAAAAGGGACCAGCCTTCTATAATCTCTCCTCCTCCCAAGTGCACAACCATCAAGCACCCGACCAAGCATTAAACGGGTGTTCTGCAATGCCAGCTCCCTAGGTGGCAAACCAGATTCAGTTGCATTTTGCATGGGGGGTGTGGAACCAGCCCCAAGCCCTAATCCCATTGCCAATTGTAATGGCCCACTTCGAGCCTTAAATGAGGTCTGCGGTGCCAGAATCTTTTCATCTGCCACACCAAGTCCATTTTCAAATGATATTGGATCGTGAGGATGAGAACCTGGCAAAGAGCTACAACTTTGCAAGAGGGCTTCCAATACACTAAGTGCCTCCCAGCACAAAGTACTCTCGACCAGTTGAGACACAATTGCATACATATGGGGACTCTGAGCTGCATCCATTGGAGTATGCTGAAGCAAGGCCTTCAGCATAAGAAGTATGACACGCTGGTATTCAACGGGCCCTTTTTCCAGGAGTCTTAGAAGGTGCCCAAAAGCTAAAGCTGAATGTTTTGGGAACCACTCATTGCACAGGAGGGGTGAAACACAACCAAGAAGGTTGTCTATGCTCTTGATCTCACCACGCGAGTAAAACATAAAAACAGTGGCTAGCTCGTCCAATGATTTAGCTCTGCACCAGATAGCAATATTGGTCGCAACAGAACAAGCCTTTTGGTACTGCTGTTGGAGTGGAGAAGCAATCCCAACAACTGCATCCTGACTGAGCTGTAGGCAAAGCCAGGGAAGTAAGCCAGTGATGTGCATCAAAAGCCGTGTTTCCGCATCCCCGAATATTGAATCACAGGAGTGCACAGTGATCCGTGACAAAACCTCTATAGAAACACCATGACTAACAGTTGACATAAGCCCTTTAAGAACAAGAGGCTGGACTCCTTCAAATGCTGGTACCTTGCCATTAGAGAAGGGTTCTTGGGCACTCTTTGATTCCAAACGCTGAAAGTCAGTACCATATGATGCACTTGTATCCAGCTCATCTCGAGGCATGCTAGACAGAAGCACATTTTCAGTCGTTCTATCGCGGAAGGATAAACGATCAATCACTCTTGAGAAGAGCTCAAGCACTTGGCAATAAACATGGACAAAATCTGTGTGCATCATAGCTACACAACCCCAGAAAAGCTGGGGGTAGAGAATTACCTTTTCCGGCTCCATATTCTCAACCATCACCTGCAATGTCAACAGGATTTCCATAATGAATCCTAATACTGCTGGTACTGGATTTGCCAAGCATCTATGGAGGCAGCGAAGCAAAGAGACACATGCATCATTAGTGACACGAGGACGTAGTGCCCGATAAATCTGGTGTGAGCGACAGGCAAGATGTCTCGATGTGCACTCCATAGCCCATTTAAGAGCCTCAACTCCCCAAGTTTCCCGAAGATCTCCTTGAAAGAAGATAGCATCCACCATGCTCTGCACAAGGGCAGACAAGAGTGCTGCACTAGGGAGCTCCGTCCTTACAACTGTGGGGTCCTCATTCTCCCACATCATACTACCACGTTTTGACTGTACATATTTAATCAAGCTCACAACCTGCTGCTTGTTTTCCCCGTCATTATTTTCTACCTCGTACAACTCCAAGTGGCGGCCTGCAAGCGAATAGAGCAGATTAACAAGCAAGTGCTGGCAATGCTCCAACACAATATCCTCTGAACTATCCATCGAGACAAATGTGACATGAAAGAGCAAAGGCAAGTGCTCTCTGAAATCCTCATCATTCTCATAAGCGATTTCAGCAAGCAAAATCAGTGCAATGTCAGCATGAGTCAATGAATGTTGCTGATGTCCTTGCAAGGCAGATTGAAGTTCCTTTGCATTTACACCATGCATCGCAGTGCCAGAGTGCAAACCATCTTCCCCGGAGTTTGGTGTGTCAATGAGGTAGTCTCCACTGTCTCGAGAGACATGGCGACTCCGTAAGCTCCCTGTTGAACTGCGGACTCCCATCAATGGCCCTGACATGTTCACAAGTGAAGGAAGAAGTTGGCCAGACCGACCAGCAGAAACAGGAACAATATTCAACTCAGGCGGCATAGAACTTAGTGGGCCAGAGGCACTTCGGCCTCCAACAGCCGCTGTTCTCCAGCTCAAGCTTCCGCTCGTGTTCCTTAGTGGACCATCAAGGGATCCCCGAACCAACAAAGGTGACATGTGAGGCTGGCTGTCTACTACAGAAGCAATCTGAGTAGCAGCAGGCCCCTGAGAGAATTCCAACACAAAATTCCCATTGGCGTCAGCCTTACTAGCACTAGATCTCATGGATTCTACGCTGTCCTCGAGCATCCGCTGAGACAATTGGTAAACCAAGTGATCAATTGTCCTCTGTGGGCATATTCGAGCTAAATATAAGCTAACTCTTTTTGCAACTGAAAAGTACGTAGCAAATGCCCCACTAATTTCTGGTGAGGCGTTTGAATCACAATCTTCAATCCCCTTTGTAATCAAGAAATCTAAAACTGG